GGAAATACTTCAGGTGTTCTGTTCATAGGGTAACTATGAGATATGCTCTACTCAATGGCATTCAATAACAACAACAAAGAGGGATAGTATATGGGCACTATACTGTCAGAAATATCCATCAGAAACATAGGTGAGGGTTAAGTTACCAGAGTGAGGCTTTGGTCTCTGTAGAAATTATTTTCCTTCATGTGTAAAACATAAAATAATTGTATCCACTAGTGTTACTAGGCATAAATATGTTGTTATGTGCCAGCGAGTTGCCTGTGACTCACACTAACCCAATGTATAACAATTCTGAAGCCTGACCTGTCCTGAGCCAGTCTCACTGATTCTGACACATCTACCCACATTGCCCCAGTTACTGTATATAAACCCATCTTATATCCATTTTATAATCCATCTTCCTTTTCTGAGCTGTCCCTCTATAGTTCCAAGCATGTTGTCTTTCTCCAAAGACCAATTCCTCCTGGTCATGTGCCCCAAATCTGAGCCTCTTAGGAGACTGGTGTTTAACATTATAAGTCTTTCAATGATGTTGTCTATTACAAAAAAATTCAGCAGAAATTCTACTAGCCAACCTTCATAAAATAATTTTTTCAATCAACAAATACTCTCTATTCCCTTTGTATGATATGCTGGCTGATGTCTATCCTATCTTACCCTTATGCTCAAACTAGTTAAATTCTATGATTATTAAGACACTTGGGACTTGCTTCAAAGTTTATTTCCACTGTACTTTGCTTAAGCAAGCAATTTAAAAATTATATAAAATAAAAATGAAACTTAGGCTTCAATTTTATGTGAACACTTAAGTGAGTAATTTGAAATTCTCTTGTGCTACAGTCTATAGGGTGCCTAGACTCTTTGGCAGTTTTCACCCAGCAGCAACTCTGAGGAAGAAAGATGAATCTTCTTCTCCTCTGGGATTTACAGCTCTGAAAACTCCCTAGAGCATCAGCTATGAGTTGGTGTCTACTTGAAGTCCTACATTTGAGTATTGAGTGAGGTAAGGGCAAAACTTAAAAACTTAGAGCATTAGTACAAATTTATGGAAATCTGGCAAAAAAATATGCAAGTAATATTTAAGTGAATGAAGTTAGAAATATCCTAATGGATTGTAAAACTCAAATAAATTGTCGAATATTTTTATATTTTCAATTAAAAAAAACCCCTCAAAGTAGAACAGTAGTAGAAGATGTTTTATGGACAGGATGAACAAAGAAATAAAGGTAAAACTCCAAGCATTTAAAACAAGCCAAAAGATAAGTACTACTTTCTTTATATAAATTGAAAATTAAATGAACAATGACATAAATTTACTTAAGATAAAATATCTGAAGGACGTACTATTTTTTTAGGATCTCTCTCTTGAAGTAAATACATCAGTGAATCTTAGCTCAGTTCTTTATCCTGAAGGGTAAGAGACCTTCTACAGTAATAGTGTAGATGGGATAAAAGACTAAGGAAGCTAGAAGAACAGGGCTGACTCAAGAAAATATTTAAAGGTATTTTAGAATTTTATTTCTTTGTAGATGGTTCAGCCGAGTCTATCTAGACAAGAGAGAGGAAGGATCAGACAGTTCTATTTGTTAAAGGGAAAAAAAATCTGGGTGTCTTTCCTGTCTTTTTCTCATGAAATGTTATACATTAATTGCTGATGTTGCTGTACATTATAGAGTCAGAAATGATCCACAGCCAGCTGTCCTATGGGAGTTAAGTTTCAGAGGCAGTTAATCACCCAGGAGAAGATTTCCCATCTTCCTCTCAGAGTGATTGGTCGCCTCAAACGGCTTGCCTTTGGGATTGCAGCACAGTCCCTTGTCATTAGGCCACCAGATCTCATTGACTATATATATTTAAAAAAAAAATCTACCAGATGCTCTGTTGGGAAAAGGAGGGACAATCTCCTCCTGTACCAGTCAGATCTGATTTGACGGTACACTCACACAAAAATAAAAAAAAAATAAAAAAAAAATCTTGAATGTTCTGAATTAATTACTATGTTCTAAGCGATATATTGACATTTCTTTGAAATAAAGAAAATCTTTTGCTGTTACAAAATGTGAATTCTAATATATTTACCATCCATTACAAGAGATTAGTTTAAAATGTATTAATCATTATGCAGTAAATGTATCACTAGAAATTTATATTTAATTGCGAATTAAATTGTATTTCACTAGAAAAGAGTAAATGCTGTCATACGAAAGTTAAATTATAAAAGAAAAAGTATTTAGGATGAAGGTATATTTATCTCTTATAAACTTGCAGTAATATTTGTATATATCCTTTGAACATAAATGTTTTTGACATTATTAAAAATATTATCTCTTGTTCCCATGTTTATTCCTCTTTGATTTATTTTGCCAGAAGATATTTCTCTTTGCCTCCAACATTCACATTATTTTACACCCATCTTGCATTTTGGACTTAGTCAATGCCATCTTATCCACAACTTACTTGGGAACATATTTTGTTTTCCTTACTATGTAATTCTTCTATCACGCCAAGGCCATATATTTCACATCTTTCAGAATGGTGGTTAGAAATGTGTAATCAACAATTTTTTATCACAGCCTTTGTTAAATATCTAAAATTTTCTAGGAACTGAGTTTCAAGCTTTTTACCTAAGAAAATCCACAGCCCAAGCTGTCCTTGTTTGGTCTATTATTGGACAAACCGGCAAAAGCTGTGTGTAATAAGTTTTTAATAAGCACACAGTGTGGCACTATAGGAAAGGTGGTTTGATGGACCTATACTAAGACAATGACAATCAGCAAAAGCCTTCCAAAAACAGGACATCTCTATTTAATAAATTAAGTGTGATCTGGGAAAAATGGTGATTCTGGGATGAGAAGACTTTTCCAGGCAGAGGGAAGAGCAATTGCAGAAGCTCATAATTTACCAGGAGTATAAAATCTTAGGAAGCTGATAGTGTGGTTGGTTTCTACGTTTGAGGAAATAATGTGGAAAAAAGTCATTCAAGTAAGCTTAAACATTGAGTGAACTCCCATCATTCAAATTCCTTTTGTCTGCTCAAGCATGTTTAGAAAAAAAGTGATTGTTTTATTTTCTATGAAAAATTGATAAAGCTTTTTTATATTCTGTTTTTCATCCTGAAGTTTGAACACTAATTTTTGCAAGATAAGAAGTCTTAAGAATTTCTGTATCTGATTTTTACTGGGAAGAAGAGTCAAATACTCCTTACCTATTGCTATAAACCAATTATCATGCTTATTTCTACACAGGAAATTTTTCAGGAAATTCTTCATCATATCTGAATTTAGTCTGCAGTAACTATTATAATAGCCTTACCAGTTTAATTTAAATATTACTTGTATAGTCTCTTAAATTGAGTAATATGACAAGAGTAGTGTAACCATTCATTTCTATTTTAAATACAATAAATATTGCTTAAATTACATCTTTTCCCTACATAGCATACAGAAAGAATTTTAAATGGCATCATTCAAGAAATTGATTGCCTTTTAAAATTTAACTTGTAGTTATAGAATTAAAATATAATAAATGATGAAGGAATATAGAAACTAATACGGTTATAAAGGAAAAAAAATTCTTTGATACTACTTGAGAGTATATATAAATATATATTTTTAATGTTTAAAATTTATACATAAGTTAAATTTTTACATAACTTAGTTTACGCCTGAAAACTACTAACATTTTGCTTCTTTAACTGGTACTCAAATTTATTTAATTGTCCCAGATACTGCCTGGGGAGACTTGGTTAACATTAAAACTTATTTCACTTTTCTGGAAAATATTGTATTATTTAGGGAAGAGGTAAAGGAAAGAGTAAGCAATTATTTGAATATTTTTCTTTTTTAAGACACTGAATTTTTATTTTAATGAAAGTAAATAGAAAAGTTAGATTTTCATTCATTCACTGTTACACATGAATATTTTTCTTAATATTCAAACCCTTCATCATCTGTGAGGATATTTTTTTTCTTCCCTCATCATGTTTACTTATTTTAGTATAAAAAAATCATTTACCACAAAAATTAGCTCATACTCATAGCAATTCTATAGGACAGAATAATTATCTCATAGGATTTCCAAGGCTGATGGACAAGTAACTGAAAGGTACAAGTTCAAATTCATTAGCCAACCACTTCTCAGGACACAAAGATGTGCAGTCCCCTCCAGTACAGATTTATAGCCTAGGAATTCTGTTGGGGGGGGGGCACTATGAGTTAGGTCTGACTTAATGACAGTCAGTGTCTATGTGTGTTTTACAGTCATTATAGAAGTAGACTGCCACATATTTTCCTGTGGAACAACTAGTGTATTCAAACTGCAACCTTTCTGTTAGCATTTAGGAACTTAAGTGCTGTAGAGAATAAGGTATTTTATGATAAGTAAACAGATTGAGAATGATAAGATTGTAACAGTGGTAACAGGCTAGAGCAATGTTGAGATCTGTTGTCACAGGGTTAGCATAAGTTGTCGTCAATTTGACCCCACTTAAAAACAACAGCAAACAGATTTTGAAATAGGTGTTCCACTTGGTGTTTATATAAGATTGATTTTCAGTGTAATCTTATAATGTAGAAGTGGTTTTAAAAATGAGGGAAGTGCTTATAACTCCAGAATATAAATAGTGCACATAGCTCATATCCTGAGAAGGTGTTGAATTATATTTTTTAAAGGGATATTCTTTTTTGAAAAGGTGAGATCAAGGATTGGCAGATTGGGAGAAAGATCTTGCCTCCCAAATCTATCTTGGTTCCAATTTCCTATTTTAGCAAACTGCATAATCATGAAGAATGTAGCCTTCAAGTGTGATGGGAAGCACAGCTCATTGAATAAAAATCTATTAAAATAGTAGAAAGGTTAATGAGGAGCAAGTTAAACCTTTTCAGAATAATACATGCTGACATTGAAATGTGTGCTGTCATAATTTTTCTCTGCAGCCTTTGAGCTGTTGCTCGTGTTTGCCCAACACTGTGTAAGGTGAGGAGCAGAAACTGACTCACTGTGCGGGATGTCGGAGGAGCTGAAGGGCTTGTCAGGGAGACCATCTCCTGGATTGCTAATCGGAGTTTTAGGCGATGCAGAGGGTTGCTGATTCCAATCTCTCTCTGGATCTCAGTGTCTGATAAAGCAGACATTATGGCACCACTCTTCACATTAGCACGGCAAGCTGCCACATACCAAGCAGGCATTCCCAACCAGAGCTTTAAGAAAGGGAAAGAAACACACAGAGTATAATGGTTAAAATGGTAGCTTCTATTATGTGCTAGGCATTATTCTAACAACCTTGTATGTATGCTCTTCTATAAGCTTATAAATCCTTGAGAGTAAATAAATCCAATACACAGTGTTGGAGAAGATTGCTGAATATCCCATGGACTGCCAAAGGAACAAATAGATAATGTCTTAAAAAAAGTGCAGCCAGAGTGCTCTTTGAATGCAAATATGATGAAGCTTCATCTCTCCTGCTTGAGTCATGTTGCTAGGGAAAACTATTCCTTAGAAAGGGACACCATTCTTGGAAAGGTGAGGGCCAACAAATGAGAGGAAGACCCTCAATGAGATGGGCTGACACAGGGCAATCTCCCGTTTGATTAACAGCTTCTGAAAACTCTCAGGAGGGTCAGCAATGGGTTGGTTCTGGCTCGATAGTACACAACAACAACAGTAGTGATAAGAAATATTTCTGACAAAAAAGCAATGTTCTCAGGGAATTCATTCTTACAGTGACTGATTTTTAAGTGAACTATTTACCTTAGGAGAAAGAGTATCATCAGTTGAGTCTTGAAATCCATCTACTGTTACTCACTGATAGCAACTCCCGTATATGTGCCCAAATAAGTCCTTCTCATCCTTCACAATGCAACTAGATTCATTCATCTACTTAATTATAAACCCAACCATTAATCCATCCATCCATCCATCCACAACTTATTGCGCATTTAAAGAAATGAATTTAATGTAGAATCATGGAGGTTTAAATTAACAAAACTGACCTAAGTGTGTCTAATATAAAACCCATCTTCAGAAATCTGCTATCTTCATGTAACCAAACTCTTACTGCCATACAGTCAGATCTAACTCATAATTGACTTTCCATTAGGATCCCAGGTATGACTTTTGAGTTAGCATTGCAACTTCCAACTGATAACACCAACAGAAATCTTTCAGGTGTATGTTGTTGTTATGTGTCATCTAGTCACCTGCAGGTCTTAGTGGCCCTATGTACAACAGCTCTGAAACCTGCCCAGTCTCACTGGCTCCAACACACCTACCCCACTACCCCAGTTGCTGTGTCACTCCATCTCACCCAGGTGTTCCTCTCCTGTGTTGCCCCTTCACCCTTCTGAGCTTGATGCCCTTCTCCAATGATCAGTTCCTCCTGGACACATGCCCAAATTATGTTAGATGGAGCTTCAAAATCCCAGCCTCCAAAGAGAAATGTGGTTTAACCTTCTCTAAGAGAGACTGGTTTGTTCTCTTGTATATTCAAGTTTCACCTTCTCTAAGACCAGTTTGTTCTCTTGTATGTTCAAGATTCTTCTCCAGCACCACAATTCAAAAGCATCACTTCTTCTTCTATCATCCTTAGTCATTGTCCAGTTCTCTGATGCATAGCATCTGAATCAGGTACATCTTTGTGTCTAGAGTGACATCTTTGCTTCTCATTACTCTGAAGAGGTCTCAACTGCAGATTTTCCAAGCAGGTAGACACATCTAATATAATAACTACATTGTTCTATGTATAAAGGACAATTATTAGCATCACTTAAAATGAATCAAAGAGCTACATGAAGATTGCCGCATTAACTTTAAAAAGAAAATGGTCTTTAAAATAGGATAACAAAATGAATAAGCCATAAGGCAGTAGGAATAGAGATTTGTGGAGTTTTTTCCCCCCAATTTAGCTGTGAGGCTCTGAAAAGACAAGTGAATCAGAAGTGTTAAGGACACAGCAGTGTCTAAGCACTGGTTGAATGCCAGTTCACAACTTTTGTGTTGTACATGAAAAGCATATTCACTTAAAAAAGGAATATTTTCCTTGCACTTCATCACTATCTTGAAGTTGGAAGGAAGAAACTTGGAAAGGAGCTTAATTATCGGTTCTTAAATGTCTAAAAAATTCATTGATATTTAGTTTACTTCTGTTTTATTTCTGGCAGGAACAGATTGAGCAAAAGAAAGAAAACATAAGAATGAAAAATATTTGAGAAATAGTAACAGAAATAAGAAAAGCTATAAAGGGAACAAAACCCAATGCCCAAAGATCGTGACGAGAAATGGGAACTGTTGGATTCTAATTATTTGCCTGTCATTACTGTCATGTAATTCTCTAAACTTCAGCCTCATTTTCCTTGCTTGAAAAATGAATAGATTAGATTAAACGTTATTATTTCTAACACACTGTGTTAAGCAGCTTTTTATATAACATCCCCCCCTAATAATTACTTCTAACTCCTGGCCGTCACACCTTTGAAACAGGCAAGGGAAATAAGGGAAAGCAGGAACTAAGGTGGCTGATATCAGCACAGATCCAAGTCCTACTGGGACAGACTACACCCCTTAACCTTGAGGGCTTACATGGAAAGAAAACAAAATTGTGAGGGAGCAACTGGAAATGCCTCTCCAACCTGTGATCACCAAAAATGTAGTCCAGGAGGCAGATGATAGGATTAAGAAACCATTGCAACCGGGGGATATGACTAGAGGGAATGCAGATTTATAGATCACAGTTGACAGCTTCCTGAGGAAGCATTAGAAAAGTGAACTGCAAGAGTGACAAATTTAGGGGCAACATCTGTGGTTCTGAATGCTGCAGAATGGAGGAATATGTTGGCTTGATGTAAGACCCACACACTTGCTATGGAAGAGTTGTGAATGATATTGCAATACTCAGTTACACAACAGGCTAACCCAAGAGGAGCAATACCTTGATAGGATGGATCAAAGCTGTCATTAGATTTGTTTATTATACAAAGGGAGGCTATCCATCTCCCTTTCTAAGTACCAAAAGGGTCATTCCTGGGTGTTTCTCAGTAATAGCAAAATATATCCCAAAGTCCAAAGAGTTTCTCAGCTAACAGTAAGTTACAAAGCTTGGGGCAGGAATCTCTGGCTCCAAGGGTTGCACACACTACATTCTCCACTTTCTCTTCTTTCCTGGGTATGAGATTCCTACTGACACTGGATCTGCCCAATTTAATGGAGAGATTAGCCAATCCCCTTGTAGATAGACTAACAAACCCTATTTGCAAGAGGACTAAATGTTATAGGCATTCAATGTGTTTGCAGGGCAGGCAGAGATGAGTCAGCTGGGTCAGATTAGAAGTGTTATCTCAGAGGAGCAAAGAGAGGGATGGCAAGGTCAAAGGCAAACTTTGAGCCACAGACCAATTGCACTGTAACACTCTTCTAGAATCTTTTCCCTTTGCATTTAGGCTAGGTCTAGTGAGTTATTTCTACTAACAACAATAACAACAAGCAAAAGATGATTAAAATGATGGAATGTCACTTTTCAGATCTGGACTTATTGCTTCTGTTATCTCATTTCCCCTTTTTCTAGAAATAAACATCAGAAAAAAAGCAAGCAAGTCAGTTAGAGAAGCCAAGTGTCTTGGGACTTGTGTTTCTGACTAATAACTAAGGAGGAATGTAATCCTGACTACAACCACATGACTGAGTTTTGGAGGTGGATCTTGCCAAAGAGAGATTTGAGATGAGTGCAACCCTTGCCAGATCTTCAATACAGCCTTATGAGATACTCTTATCAGAGTCTATTGTTAAACTACACTCAGATTCCAGACATGAAGAAGTCATGAGAATACAGTAAGTAATAATATGAATGAATAAAGATAAGAATAAGTTTTATGATGATTTACAGCCAGACAAAAGATAATTACTATAATGGTGATAGCTTTGTGGTTTAAAAGTTAGGCAATATTTTAAAAAAAAGTTCTGCAATATTTAACAGCTACACTCCTCTTGATAAGAGAAAAAAAAAAGGAATAAAGAATCACTGTAGTGTTAGCTTAAAAGTTGAGTTTTTTTAGCAATTACGTTAGTCCCCTCTGGTCTCCAGATACCTTAACTGTGGACACATGGTCTTTCAAATCGTCAACAGTCATGGAACTAGGATAAGAGAGAGTTTTTCCCATACTGGGCAGCATTACTTGAGAAAGATTGTAGCAAGACCCTGGTGAGAATGAGACCTTAGTGGTGATAGCTTGGTGATGGTAATGGAGAGAAGATGGCATTGTTTTGGAGAAACTGTGGCAAGGTGTGACCTGAGGCTTCTTGCATTTATGCTGGCCACAGTTAAAAGTTGTGCTGTTCTTGCAGGATCCTTGAAGGAGAAGCTATGTAATAGTTGCTCTAAGGTAAGTCTTACTGGATGGTTAAAGAAACCAGAGACTTCTTGAATTTGTGTTACTGGACTGAAACAAGGACTTTTATAATTCAAGGCGTTTTTGTTTTTTGGGTTTTTTTTTTACTATAATGTTTTGCAGTTAATCTGATTTGGGACTAAACCTTGACTTGTCTTGTGAGATATTCTTTGCATCTTCAACTCCTCAATCTATTTCCCTAATAAACTCCACTCAGTACCACAGCTGTAAGTAAATTCTGTGAGTGAACAATGAATATTGAACCCAATGATTGGTGAAAATAAACGCAGGAGAAGGGGTGAGGGTAGTGTATCTGATCTAGTAGCTATCTGTTTGATGCTATAGATAATATTGATGGGGATAGTACCTTTTATGAAGCAGGTAGAAGTTAGACTCAGCCATCCTCAAGTTGCATCCACTCTGTTTACAGCCACTTTGTTGAGTGAATGCATCCTGGGTTGTGACCGAGATAAAAGAGAGACTGTATATGGGAACAGTGCACACCTGTACCATTTACCATATCTTACAATATGGTCTGTTGGGTACATGACCTTGACTTTCTCTTAATAGGTAAGATTAGATATGAATAAGATGTGATTTAATATCTTACTTTATAAATTTATACTATTCAAAATTAAAAAACCATCTAGTTGTAACTTCATGAATCTTAATAATTTCTCAACCCTCTTTACTAAGGAATTTGAGTTTCTACATTTGTTAACTAAAGGTTATCATTGCCAATTATTCTTTGGATATGTTTTATTGGACAAATGGTGTGTGAAACATCACTTCTGTATTCCATTCTTCACAGCCTATGCACTCAAGGAGGTAAAAAAGTTACGAGTTCTGATTCACTGGAAAATCCCTTTTATTTGTCTTGCTTATTCCACTTTATAATTTGAGTCACATTAAAAAGTATATTATGTAAAATTTCTTTGTGTTCGGGGCTGGATTAATTAGTACAAACTTCATTGTCTGTTACTTCCTGGTACCTTAGTGTCAGTGGATCTTTTTTCCTCCTATGAAAGACATGCCAAAATAGCAACTATCTCTCTGTCTAACTGCAGATCATTTCACCCAAGTAAGAAATGAACAAAGAATTATTATTTTCCAAATGTGTATTTTCGTGCATTTTTCTCTTACAATTTTAAATAAAGAAAATTTAAAGACATACTTGGAAGAAGCAACCCTGATAATTAGTATGTTAAAAACCACCCTAAACACTTATTGCCACCAAGTTGGAACCAATTTATAGCTGATGTTCTTGTGGGGTTTTAGGCAGTAAACAACATGGGAAGATATTCTGTGTCTTTCTCTAATGAAGGTGTTGTTGATTCAAACTGCCAGACAGGTGCTCCCTTTTGGGGGAACAATGTAAAACTTTACAGATTAAGCCACCAGTGCTTCCTCTAAGTTATATCATTGTTATGTTCTGTTGAATTAGAACCAACTCATAGTTAATGCACTAGTGCTTTTCCAGAGGCAGTAAATCGCACATAAGGAGATTGCCTTTCTCTTGCAGAGCAGCTGGTGGGCTTGAATCATGAGAACTTTTAATTTATACCGTTGTTGATGATTGTCTTCAAGTTGAGCACAATTCATAGCGACTCTATGAGCAAAAGGCCTGAAGCCCTTCTACAACTACCAACATTTATCAAAGTTCATAGATTTTCTAGAGGCATGTTTTTTAGGAAGTGAATACTATTTTCACTCATGCTAAGAAAAACATAAATCATATTTCTCCAATCTTTCTCTAAATAACTATTTTTTTATACTAGTTTACTTGCAAAATTCAAATACATTGTTTTCACAGCTGAACCTTCTCAGATAACTTCTCAGGTAACTCATCAAATTGTATCAACCCATTATAGGTCCCCCGACATACCTATTCACCCATCTGCTTCCACCACCCTACATCCCTGTTTGGATCCTCATACTTATTCTACAATAATGGTTTTATACAGTATTTGTCCTTGTGGGACTGAGTTAATTCACTCAGCATAATACTCTTCAGTCCCTCTCAATTTAGGTAATAATTTTATACTGGTTCACATACAAAGTTCATGTAGTTCATATTCATAGTTTTTCACACTGGATCGTCCCCCTTTGCTTTACCAATCCCTCTCTCCACCCATCAAATTGTGCAACCCTATGATTAAACCTCCCCTACCTTGGATCCTTGTACATACTCTACAATAAAGGTCCTGCATGATATTTGTCTTTAAGAAACTGAGTTAGTTCCTAAATAACTACGTTTAAATCAAAATTAGTTTGAAATATTTTCTTTATTAATGAAGTGATCTCTGAATATTATAATTTTTCATTAATTAATAAGTTAGATCTGAATGTATGGATAATTCTTTTCTCTTGCCTTCTGATAAGAAAAGTCCCTTGACTGACAGACTGAGACAAATATTCATGCAACATTAGAGATATGGTTCAGTAATTGTTAATTCTGATCTAGTGTTGAAGAATGTGGGATGCAAAGAGATTTTCTTTTATCCTATTGAATGGTTACCCTGCTCCCCAAATCATATGTAAGTTGAAGAGTAAAAGCACAACGATGTGTTCAGGCTATAAGATAAACAAAATATCTCCTTTGGAAATCATCTCAGGCTGATGAGAAACGGGCCTTCAGAAATGTATGTTGTGGGTAATTTGGTGGAATAGTGGGTAAGGAATTGTATTGTGAACTCAAAGATGATGGTTCAAATTCACCAGCTCCTCCATGGGAGAAAGATGAGAAATTTCCTCCCATGCTATTTACAGCCTTTGAAAACCTATTTGAAGGTCAGCTATGACTCCATTCCAACTTGATAAGACATAACAACAAACACATATGATATGACATCTGTCATATCTGGCTCATGAAAAAGCTCAAACTATCACATTAGTTGCTATTACTTTATCTGAGTCTTTTGGTTGATAAAATCTGTCTTACCTCTAGCCATGCAACCACTGTGGGCCCATCCCACTGGGCAAAAGGTAATCCCTTTCTCCGAGCTTCTTCTAGAAGTTCATGCCTGAAGTATACAGTTAAGATTATTAGTTCAGGTAATAAGGACAACTATAGCAGCAATTATTGCTTTTAATGACAATATTACAAAAAAGTAATGCATAGCATGAATTTTCTGATTTCTGTGCAGAATAGTAGAATTTTTTCTTTGGGTAATACAGAATACATTATCCATTTTTTATTAGGTGAAACACTGACATTGGAAAATAATTTTACACAACATTTATTCTATGAATTCAAACATCAAATGATAATGGACCAAGAACCAATTTGTGTTTTTCACAAATCTCTTAGCGTTTTAACAAGAAAATTATTCTCATATGCATAATCAGCTCCATATTATGGAATTGAGATGTGATTTCCTCCAACTCTTACTATCCTCTCTCTACTGATAGAAAGCACACCTATGTACAGAAGCAGAATATGTATTTGGTCATTTTACTCCAATCTTGTGATGTACTTTATTTTATTATGCCCTCTGGGTTTACACAAAAATTTTAGCACTTGATTCTTTCATTAAACTACTAAATTTCTTCTCATTTAAAGAGAATTGTAAGGTAGAAGACTTCTCTCATTGGAAACCGATGCAAGGGGTGAAATTCAACAAATGCATTTCATTTCACTTATAATCACTACACTTTTTGAAGTAAACAAAATACTTCAGTGACAAAAAACAAATGATTATCCTGGATAAAAAAAAAAAAACAAAACAAAATCCAATGAAACCTTCTTGTTGAATGAACTTTAAATCCGTTATCCTTACATCCACAAAAATTGTTTAAGATATTGATCATAATTGAGATAGCAAGCCATAACATATATCTGGCTGATTTTATTGCAAAAATTATTTGCTACATCTTCATGGACTTTTATCTAATACATAAATTATAAATATGGTAGTACATTCATTGCTTTATTTTGAATATGTGTCTTTCATTCATACTTAGAAAACATCATATATGAACCACCTAAAAAAAGTCCATACAGAGAATCAATTGTTGTGTTCAGATATAGAGATGCTACCAACAAAAATCTGGTATATATAAAAAAAGGGAGAAAAAACCCAAAATTAACACTTAACTGCTGAAGATATCAATAAACTGCTACTTAATTTGGAAGACTAGGGAGAAAAGTATTTGTAATAAGCTATTCAGCTCCTGAGAAAGGAGTCAGCATCACTAGGGCCTTGAACCCAACTGGAAAACTAGAGACACTTCCACTCTTGGCTTGCACTACCATCAACTATACCCTTGGGGTTCCCAATGACATCGAGTTGAATCCACTCCTTTCACCATGACACATATAGTTTCAGAAATGAACAAACAAGGAAATGTTGGGCAATTATTGAGCACCTTTTATGAATGGAGACTTGTGCTCGATGGAGAAACTAGATAACACGGACCCAGCTTTTCAGGCACTTTCTGGTTAGACAAAGCAAACACGTGAAACTGACCAATAATGCAATTCAGTGTACAACTTGCCAAAATACATTTGATGATGAAAGTTGAGAAGCTTGGAAGAAAAGGTTAATAATAGCAATGGAAACAAATACTGAAGGATTTCTGGCATCACAGCTGGCTTGAAAGGGCAGGTAGGGAGGAGATGGGGATGGTGTTCCAAGCAGGATTAGCAGTCGGCATGGAGATGCAGAGGCACAGCTGGGCATGCAGTATGCACAAGACAATTTATATGCCTCCCGAGCCCTACTCGTAAACTTATACCCAATAGTGAAGGGAACACTTCCAGATACATAATGGACCAGTGGCATAAAAGAAGAAACAAAGAAATGTTACAAGTGTTTTTTCGCTTCATTTAGAAAGAAAAAGAAAACACAAAACCAGAAAACCAAACCCTCATGTAAATATGCACTAAACCTGCCTAGGAATCAATATAACATTCTTACAAGTGAACTATATGAGTTGTACAAGAACTATTTTTTTTTTTAAAAAAAACAACCAACATATGAATTTGTGAGCATCTAATTAGTTTTCTGTCTTAAAAAAATACTACATACAGTTAATACATGATTCTGGTAAAATTTGGGTTATATGACATGATTCTGGTAAAAAGTATTTATGTTAGATCTCTAATGGTAATATTCCAATAGTTACTCTTCCTACTGAGAAATGAAGCTAAAATTGCTGTTTGATCCATGCACTTCCTGATTATTTTTTACTCACTTCCCAGCTCATATCTTGACTCCCTTTGAACTAATAACACCCGTCCCTTAACTGTTCCCAGGAAACACTTTTGATCTCTTTAGGTTTCAAAACATTTTGTAGTTTCTGTTTCCTGTGTCTGAAATGCACCTGCTCACCTATGTGAAATAGTTTCTCAAATATGACTTTATTATGCTGTCTCCCCTTACTGCTCCTAATAATCATTCCTTATCCCTAGCTTTTGTTTTCTTTTTATAAAAAGATTCCTTTTATATTTTTATTCCTTGATATGAATATAAACTCAAAGAGGGCAAGGATATTCACATATCTTTTCAGTGATGAATGAGAGACTCTAAATTAATATAGATCACAGAAGAAACCCAGTGAATAGTTGTGAATGCTGACAAGAATATCAGCTAATGTTAACAATATCTTATTATATTTTAACCCACTTATATTTGCATATTTTGTTACTATTTGCTGTCGATTGTAACTGACTCATAATTGACCTGCTTGTGGATTTCAGATACCCTAAATTATATGAGAGGAGATGCTCATCTTCATCCCATGAAATAGGTGGTGGTTTTGAACCACATGCCTTTGAGTTGGCAGTGCAAATTCTTACCACTAAGCCACCAGATCTCTCTCTTTCTCTCTCTCTCTCTCTTTCACACACACACACACACACACACACACACACACACACACGTACACATACACACAGAATAGATAGATAGTGTTTAAGAGAAGAAATGTTTTGTGCATAAGTGTCATTTGAGTTGAAATGTGTAATATGTATGTTGAAAAGAGAAAGTCACTGAAGACCTAATAAAAAAAATATTTCAGGAGAAGAAACATCACAGAAAGCCTTGAGGTGATAAATTAGCTAACTCATATACAAAATATTTAACTGGAATAAGCTTATTTGCATTTGGATGTAGTTATTAGATTATTTCCTTCCAAGTTTCTTCTTTTATAATTAATATTATCCCTAAGGCTACCTTTTTTTTTCTTTTTAAATACTAGTCTAGTGCCATCACTTTTTGCTTACTTTGCTCACATATTTTGGGCATGTTGCTAGAAGGGTCTATTCCTTTCTAGAAGGATATGATGCTGAGAAGGATGGAGGGTGGGTGAAGAAGAGGAAGACCCTTAACCAGGTGGAAAGACATGATGACTGTTGCAATAGGTTTTTTGTGTCAGGAAGTGTGACTATGGTGCAGGATAGAACAGAGTTCAGACCTTTTGTTCACAGGGTTGCTGTGAGCCATACTCGGTTTGATGGCACCTAACAACAACAGTCGTAACATTCTTTAATTTCTTTGCTTACTTGGAAAGTGAAAACAAGAAAAATAACCATAATTGAAAAAATGTTACATTTTTCATTAGAAATTATTTTTTTTCAGAAATAGGTAACTGTGAAAATGATGAAGAATGATAAGACTTTATTAAATGATAAACTTGATTAAAATGTTTGTAAAAGAAACTGTGAAAATGAAGTGCACCAGTTTCTGAAAGAAGTCACAGACCGTGTGGGTGGTGATGCGTCCTCCTCATGATCTTTCCAAAGTGAATGAATCATGAATGTCAGGAAAAGAAGATTTTATTCTCAAGTCACTTAGCCTAGATGCTATTTTGGAACAACAAATTTGTCATAGGAATATCTACCTACTGTGAAGCATAGTTCTTTCTGACAGCTGGGCTGACCATTGCAGTTACCTTCCATGTATTACCTGTCAATTTTTCCTTGATATTTTCTCTTTTGTCTTCCCTCCTCTCCATTTCTCATTGGTACCATAATTTTGTGGGTTTTCCCCCCTATTAACATTATAATGCATTCTTTTTCTCTCCAGTCTTCGTATCCTTCTAGCTCATGCCACCAAAACAGCTTCTCTGAACAATGTATTTCTTACAAGAGCAGGTGGGAGAGAAGCTGCTAAATCCGATGCTTAGACTTGACTCCTCCTTTTGTATATTTGAACAAACCATTTAATTATGCTGTACCTCAGTTTCTTAATTTGTAAATATGGCTTATGATAACTTCTATCTATAGAGTTATCATGATTGTTAAATGAGAAAATATTTGAAATATGATTACAAGAGTGTCTGGCACCATACAAATGGCCAATAAACATGCACCATGACTATTATCATCATCTTTTAATGGTTCCTCAAGCACTTTTAACCAGGATTACAAAGTCTTCCCAATTCTAACTAAATACTGTGTTCTTTAACTTTTAACCAGAATTAAATACTTATTGTTCCAAATAATTTGGTCATCCTTACCCCATTTTAAGGAGCTCCAGTGGCCTAATTAAAAAGTTGTGTCATTAACCCAGAAGCCATGTCTCTCTGAAGGTTTGGATCTATCAGACACTCCTCAAAAGACAAACAGGCAATTTCCTCCCATGTGATTTACAGCCTCAGAAGACCCACTGAAGGGCTTCTATGAGTCAGTTCCAACAAAGCAGCAATGAGTTTGAGTCTTTTTTTTTCTTTTTGATTTTTAATTTCATTTTTGCTAGTACAATTTCCTGAGCTGGTAAGAAATTCCTCTTCATAAATTATAAAAATCTTACTCCCTTCTTTAAGAACTCTCTTGCAATCAACTGAGCCTTCTTTTATCTTTTGATATCTGGATGTATATAGTGCCAGTGTCACTCACATGATGTATAGACAGCAACATATTTTCATTGATCTCATTGGCTCTGCCACTGTACCCCACATTATTGGTTTATTTTGCATTCTTTAAAATTATCTAATGAGTAACTATTATAATGAAGCCCACAAAGATATCAATAATGGGAAACCAAGAAGACCCTTGATCATAAATTGATTTTTATAGATA